ACTCGTTACAGCCGAGTGTACGTGTGTATGTGCGTATGTGTAATATCGTCATACACGCAGTACGTTTAATCGTTGTCGGAAATCAGATATTCTCGGCAGCGAAGTCGTTAAGCGTATTCAGTGTCACAATATCGCGGCAGTGGTTTGCGTGATAAGAGAAGCGGTGGTTAATTATTCCAGGTCATTACGACGCAACGTGTCGCCGCTGTTTTAACGCGTTCGATACATCAATGACACGTACGACCATCGTTCGAGAGAAAGATTTAATCTGTACATGGGTGAATGCCTTTTCACCGTGGTCAATAAATAACTTGTGCCTTGACTGTACACCCTTTTTGATCATGCTTTTCGCATCCACGGGACCTTCCTTCCGCGTCCGTTCTGTCGCATCCTTTTTTTTTTTTTTTTTTTTTCTACCCGCGTGACTCGTTTCGTCATCCCTCGCCTCTTCATCTCCTTCGCCAACCATAGCAACTGGAATATTTTTCATTTATGATCGACCATTCGTCGAACGATAAATAATACACACGACTGGCTAGTTCATTCCAACTAGTCAGTTTCTCACGATCGATCGACTTACAGTACCTGTGGAAGCGACAGCATTTCTCGGTGCCGTAGCTGGCTTCGTGGTCCTCCTGTTGGCTCTGTTCTTGTACCTGTCGCGCAAATGGTGCTTCACCCCGCCATCCACGACCACGCTTTTCGGCGGCGTTTGCGTGCCCCTCTGCGAATCTAACAACGGTTCCACGTCGCAAATTGCGAAGAACATAGGTACGTTGCTCATGCATTTGACGCATGATCCGTTGCACCTTTCAGCTACTCTGAAGCGGTTTTGCGATATCCCCGCTTCCTCTCAAAGATCGTTGCCAGCTACTTTTTGTACTTTTGAAATCAAAACGCCTTAACGTTCGATTTGAAAAACGTTGGCATTTTCAATGCAGGCAAGGCATTTTCCTACTCGGATCCAGAGACCAGCTCCGATTCGGAAGAGGACGTCCTTCGTCGATTGAACTCGCATTCTCATCCGCCGCCGGACACTTTGACTATCCAAGCGGAGGATGGGCCGACCATTCTCGGTTAGTATCCTTTCATCTATTTTCCCTTTTTTTTTCTCATTGATCTGCCCCACGTTCATTCCCTAATCGATCGCGCGTCGCTGTTCCAGACGCTGGCACTACATCCAGCAGCTGCACGGAAGAACACTCGCCCACTGATCAACAACAGGTGAATGAAAAGAAACTGCGTTGGTTTTCGTTCGTTGCACGATCGAACGCCACGTTTCTTGACTGCTACATAAAGTAATTTCACCGGTTCTTGGATATGTATCCCGCGTCTATCTTATCGCATGGCAATGTCGTTCTACATTCGAACACGAATCGAGCTTGAAAATTGATATCGTTGCAGTGCGTGGTAGAAGTCGGCGCCTCCGGCATCATTCTCGACAGCAGAGAGCAAGAGGTAGAGGTCGAGCAAAATGGTTCGACCACCAATGACGTTATCACAACGATGGGCACCATCACCGAGGAAGTGGGCAGCTTGGAGGTCGCTTTCCTGTACGACGCGCCGATGCGCGAGATGACGGTTCGCATAAATTCGGCATCGAGCAACGACGAGCTTCGACAATCGAAAGTCAAGTCGAAGGCGAAACTGACTGAGTTCCCTCGTTCGCAGGTTCATGTACTGCAAGGACGAAATTATCCGGAAGGTATAGGCGGCAGCCAAGTGCGGCTCGTGCTGTTACCATCGAAGAAGCAACGCCGCAAAACTCGAGTGCGCCAGGGTACGTCTCCACAGTACATGGAGAGTTTTCTACTCCCGCGTGTGAATCCGGAGGACGTGAACGCCATGGGTGTACGCCTGAGAGTGTATCTGTGGGGCGGAAGGATGCGACGGGAGAGATTACTGGGCGAGGCCAGAGTCTCCTTCGATCAGATCAATCTTCAGCTTGAAACTACACTTTGGTTAACGTTACAACCTCCACCGTTTTCTTCGGTAAAAACATCCGCATGATACACCTACGTGGTCGTATCTTTCTCCTTCCATCCTGGCCAGAAGAGACAAAGACACGAGAATGTTTCGCAGGTACAAGATTGGGGAACAACTAGTAGTTTGACTCGTAGCGACTCCACGGGATCACAGCAGTCGGTTCAGTCGTACGCGTCACCGACGGCACGTATGCCAAGCTACGCGTCGCACATTGTACCTCCTTATGGCAGTAGCATGAAGGGCGGAAGCGTGGCGGAGATTCTAATAGGCTTGGCGTACAACGGGACGACCGGGCGTTTATCGGTAGAGATAATCAAAGGGTCTCACTTCCGGGGTGGCGGTGGAAACGACACGAAACCACCCGACACGTACGTCAAGCTGGCTCTTGTGGACAGCAACGGCCACGAAATGGAACGGTCGAAAACTGGCTTGAAACGTGCTCAACCGAATCCTCTGTACAAGGAAACATTTATATTCCAGGTACGTGTCGTAATAACTCTGAGATGAAAGATTGAGAAAGATAGATGTTCTGCCTTCCATAGAATAACTACGTAATGCTTGCAACGACGATTGGTTTTAGGTCGCTCTGTTCCAACTTGGGGACGTCACTCTCTTTTTATCGGTGTACAATCGACGTAGAGGCGGAATGGGAAGGAAAGGAAGAGAGATGATCGGTTGGCTCAGTTTGGGATTGAACAGTTCCGGCTCGGAGGAGCTTCAACATTGGAACGATATGCGCGCGGCGAGGCAACCGACGCAAGTGCAACGCTGGCATTCGCTGTTGCGCCCTTGAAGCATACGATCACGAAAGAGTTCCTGTCACGGAGACACGTTTCACGATGTTGTTGGCGATAACGATATGGTTCGACAGATATAGAAACACGGTGAGACACAGAGTAACACGCGCGCCGTTAATTACATACGACTGATCGTGCAACTGGAAACAAAGCAACTGAATTTTTCAAGACAATTGCGGCCGCTCTCTATTGGATGCCGTCTGTAACTGCCCACAGAAACAGAACACAGAAGTCAATATGTCGATCTGTTGATCCAGCTGAATCAGAGCTGTCATAATTTTAGCAGTTTCTGGTAACTCTGAGTTCAAAACTCTATCGATGTACCAAGTACATTCCTTTTTGATACGCCGGACGGAGTTGAGGGTGTTTTCAACATACATATTACGTATGTATATTACATATGCAAACAGAAAAAAAACGAAAAACAGAGAAAGAACGTACATACACATATATACATACATACATACATACATACATACATGCACGTACATGGACATTACACAAATATGCAAACGCGCATTTTAAAGAAAAGTCGAACGTATACATTAGCTGATGGACCGCGAAACCGACTTCGATTCGATATGTGCCTGACAATGAGCCAACTTTAATCGTTTATTTTTTACTTTGTGCCTTTCACCCTTTTTAGGCCGCGTGAATCCGCCGACGGAGAATCGTCGTGGGATACACAGCCAAGTCGAGAGCCCATTATGAACCGCGATCCTCTAATCGTTCTCCTTTGGACGACGCTAACTAAGCAAACGTAACTTTTCCTCTCTCGGCTCCGCGACACTTTTCAACGGGACACATTCGATTTGCAGTGCTTGTTCGTTTCGAATCGATCTACCACTTGGATCTTGGTGTTTCGATCGTATGGTTCGAGAATGGATTGACACGCGCGAAACGAATTAACCCCTTGGCTGCGTGATGGTATAAATATGTAAATATAAGGGGACAGGCTGTACGAACAATTTTCCTTATTTCTACATATATATATATATATATATATATATATATATATATATACACTTTGGTTTGTTTTCTTCTTCAGTTCCTTTCTCTGCACACTATCGTTATCACGGATGCGTGTACATCCCTTATTTGACGTTGGCATTGAACATAGAAAGCACGATAGGTGATTTTTTTATAATTCATTTTGTGTCGTACTCTCGATGAACGTGTGTGCTTACTACGTTGCCATACGTAGTAGCTCCTAACTTTGCGAACGTTTTCCGTATGCAGGATATCGATTAATTAATTAGTAGCATCGAGGGGTTACGGTTAATCGATGGGGTAATAAAGGGGAACGTGTACGAGGACAGATTCACAATTCAACGACGCACAATAAACTCGCAAAACGCACCTCGTAAACGCAGATGTGATCGTAGAGTTGATATTACTATTAAACTAGTATCGTGGATAACGATATAGGTTTTACGTAGAAATGTTTTTTCCACGCGTTTATATTAGAGGGAATTGGATACCGGACGAGGCGGGCGACTGATTAACGGATAAAGAAAACAAAAAAAAAAAAAAAAAAAAAAGAAAGAAAAAAAAGAAAAAAAAATACCAGATGCTGTGAAAATCGTTTAACGCTTGACTTTTTCAAGCTTAGCATTTAGGTGATTAACGATGATTAATCCATGCTCGAACTATTCTCTCGTTCTCACGTACATGCATACATATATATATTTAGACAATGTATAAACGCGATTGCAAGGACTCAGAAGTCTTTTCTCTCTCTCTCTCTCTCTTTTTTTTTTTACTACTACGTACCGTACGTACGATACATGTGCATGAATTTCCTCGTATTCAGATGTGCAGACCTTCTTTTTACAATGCTCTCCTCGAAATGCAAAAAAAAAA